GCGGCAATATTCGGGCTATATTCTTGTTTTTGGTTAACTTCTTTCTCTTCCGTTCAGCACTTCATGTCATCTGTGTCAACGAGCTGTCCTCCTATTACTGTGAAGATATGAAATACTCTGCGGGGCTGGACACTCCAGGGTAATACACGTTTCCGTCTGCTGATTTCCCTCTAAACACCCATTTCAACCAACACTAAACTCAAAAAGCTATTTGTAAAGGCCATTTTATGTTATAACTGACATTTCTTTGTTCCCACATGTGACAGATAACCCCTAGACGGTGGGTCAACTGAGAACTGGGCCTCTTTCGTATAGATAGTGTAGGAAACAAGAATGCATTCTCTTCTTACTGCTTTGTAGATCTTCCAGGAAGCTGAGCTGTTTATTCAGATTTTTTAGATTCATGTCCACAGTTCGTTATAAGTTCTATGATAACCCATTAATTTGATCTCACTGTAATCAGGCACTTTTACTGGGTCCCTTCTGAAGTGGGTGTGACGGTAATGCTTCTCCACGTATCCGGTTTGTTTCCTTCCGCTGTCATTGTGTACAGGAAGGGGTGAATCACCTTATTACGTGCTCTCCAAACGCCTTCCACGCCTTGGCCGATCCATCGCTGAACCAACAATATTTCTCGTCTTCATATTACTCGTTGCTGGCAACATTATCTTTGTCATATCTGAGGGCAAGCCAGTTAATCTGCTGGACGTCTCATGAATTAACATTATCACAACGCAGACCATAGAGCAGTTTATAATTTTTTTTTGATCGATAAATTTTTAAACATAGTTTATAAAACCCTCGAATATGTTGACTGCTGTACGCTATCTTCTGCACCTCACGGTCCACTATCAGTTTATTAGTTCCATTTCTTTTCAAATACGCATGACAGGTCCGCAGATTTCGACAAACTCACAGTCCGAAAAATTGTGATACAGTAACCATGCATTGAACTGTAAAAATACCAGACGACCAAAAAAGCCTTACCCTCCGCTCTCCTACCCCACTTCCCCACCCCCCCCCCCCCCCCCTGCCCCTTATACGACGCAATGTCATCGGCCTGTTGACAAATTGACTGTACCCGGAATTCTTTCAGTTGCAAAGGGACAGGGCTATCCGACTGATTTTGTTGACGGTCGTAGTTAATGCCATTGAAGGATGGACTTTCTGGCTCGATCGATCCCGTTATGGGATAAGCCCCATCCTTCGATTCCTATTCAGAATCCTGGTGGCGGTTGAAGCGTGTTTAGCCTATACACTGACTGGGTGACTGAAGGGGGAGGGGCCTGAGGGGTCTTGAGGATCTAACGTTTGGTTGGTTTGGGTCAGTATCAAGCTAGGATCCGTACCGTGGACCATACCTGGATAATAGTGCGTCATTGACCGCAACACCGTCCCGGCCCATTAACGCCATCAACACATTATACACCTGGTTCTGAGAATAACACAGTCACTTTTTTTTGAATTTTAATCCCATCTGCCATTCGTTACCATTGAGGAGATTATTCCAGTAAAAAGGTGTTATTTCTAGCTGTATTATCAAAGGCTGAATTATGTTCTCCAAAGGATTTCCTAGTACTTGACCTATAGTCATCATACTGTAGACAAAAAAAGATGAGACGGATTACATTGTAATTATTTGCTATCAAGTGTTACTATTTTTTATTGTTAAACACGTTCTACTGCCCTGAATGTCCCATCTCATGACCTTCTANTACTGTAGACAAAAAAAGATGAGACGGATTACATTGTAATTACTTGCTATCAAGTGTTACCATTTTTTATTGTTAAACACGTTCTACTGCCCTGAATGTCCCATCTCATGACCTTCTAATGTGCCAAAATGTACGCTGCCCCAACCGGTTTGAAGAATTGAGCAATGCAAAAATACGTTTCTCCTCATCAGCTTTTATTAATTGTTATGGTTTCATTTCGGTGGGGGCCTCACTGCATTCGATCGCGCGCAATAGTGTGTGAAAGGCAATTAGAGTTTCCAGTTTCCGGAGTAGAGCGTTGAGCGTTGAGCGCCGGCCACTCTGTTGACACAGCCAGTTTTTATTGGTTGTGTTATTCACTTTTCCCAATTTTTTCCGCGTACGCATTAGATTCTTTGACTACTGTGGTAGGATGTGAGGAAAGTATATCATTGCAAAAGAGCTCAACGCAGATCTGCCTGAAAAATTACGTGCATCAACACAAGCACCGTCAGCAGCGGTGCGAACGTTAAGGCGGCCTACTAACGCTCAGCGCTCAACGCTCTACTCTGAAATTTCATTCAGAGCAGTAAAAGGAGAACGTTTTGATTCGCTTCGACTCTGAATAAACTCCTTCATAAATTTCAATGTGGTGAAGGAATATAGCTGACTGGTTGTTTCTCCGATAAACGGAGGTTACTTAATGAACAAAATTGATGGCCTACTATGACGATTATACTCACTTCGTCATAGATGATAAACGATGTATCACAGTTAGAAACAGCTAGTAGCTGGCATAAGGTAATCTCGACAAGTGGCCTCCGAAAAGAAAGGGAGGAGTGTCTCAATATCTTCCTTAACTTTCTGTTTCGCCAGATCTTCTAATTGGCAAGGGATTTATCAAAAGTATTTCAGATAGACTTAGGCGGCGGTGAGCCGGGCGCTCTAATGTACGCAAGGTCGTGCTCTTTGATTCACCCTACATGGATTTGGTTATTTAGTTTTAGTTTCTGTTCATAGTTAGCGAATTTCGAGTTCCGCTACCTGCATTAGATACGCATTGATTGGATGACTCAACCTCTACGGCTTGTGTTGACCGAAGCGCCTTCGCAGTCCAACGTTGTTCCGCGAAACCGATTCAAGAGTAAATCTGTGCCGGAGGATACCTTGTCGTCATGGTTCCATCGTTTCACTCTTCTGGTTTCGCTATATAGCTACGTATAAGTTGATGGTTGAGGTTTTCACCTGACCGACGCTTTCTCGACACTCGTACTATGAATAATACCTAATTGGCGTTTTATGGCCAAGTAAACAATGACGATTTTGCTCCGAAAGCTTCCTTGCTGGAGTTGAGAGGATGGGCTCAAAAAATGGAATCCAAGAGCCCGTGGGCAGGAGGGGAAGAAGGAGGTCGGATAGATAAAGGGATAACCAAAATTTCGTTAACAGGCATAGTCTTGTTTGAAGAATCCATAAATCTAGACCTGGCATATATACGGCGCACGAAATGGTCTTAGGCATGGGCACAGAAAAGCTCCCTCTTCAAGCAAGAACTAACTCCCTGGTTGTTGCAGTTGCAAAACAGGGTGAAGTCTCGTTCCTGTGGGGCAGATAAGCAGTGTACTGGTTATGACGTCATGGGGCCTCCCTTGCCAAGATACTTTCCATTTAAGTTCGAATGAACCCGCTAACGACCCTTTTGAGGCCGTTTAGCGATTCCCCATTGCTCTTTTGTGGTAAACAAAACATCCAACTCAGAAATGGACTACACCCGCCCGTAAATGTGGGTGTTGGTGAAATGGTGCGAGCAGAAGAAGAGGTAGAAGCTTCCTTTGCCATTTCCCCCCCCCCCCCCCCCCCCC